CAAGTGTCAAGTTGATGTCTCGCAGAGAAAATAAATAGTTGGCCAAAACCAACCTTAAACACATGGACAAAACCATGCAAAAATTACGGCATATCGGATCTATAAAAGATATACGGTCCCAGAATACATAAAGTACAAACATTAACCACAAAGGACTGCAAAGGACCGCAAACGAATATGCCGGAGAACGTAGGATCTGTAAAGACCTGATCAGCAAAAATGAAGAGTAGACATATTAAATTCTGCAAGCAGAATACTGCAATGCTGATCGTACTACATAAGTGTTCGTTTACATGTATTTGTGGGATTTTTTTGCCCTTAAACCCTTCCACGACTACAGTTTATGCTCGGTCTGCATTTTACCCCAGCCTGCGTTTTACTCTTCGTCTGCAGTCTACATTTTACACACGGTCTGCATTTTACCTCTGGTCCGCAGTCTGCAGTCCGCAGTCTTCGTTTTACACTGACCGATTTGATAACCAGCAATGTTAACCGTCTCTGATCGGATTCCAAACCCTTCTAAAACGACTCATAAAGACACAGGAACACAGGTAAATACATCTTATTATTTTATTAGCTAATAATACAGCGTAAATACATTTAATTATTCTATTAGCTAATACAGCGTTCGGGTTCCCTGTGGCCTGACCTAGAACTCTCAACACCCACAGAATCACGCCATACCACACCCAGAAGACACGTGGTATGGCGTGATTCTGTAGGTGTTGAGAGTTCAAAGTAATAAAAGCCACAGGGTCCAGAGGAGTTTCGTGTGAATAAATGAATTACTTATTTAAAGTCTCACCTTGAAAAATGTCTATACCTGTCGCTTAGCACGATTAATTAGCTCAATGGGATTTTTATGAATCTACTGTAAACGATTTCTTCCCTTCTTATCTGACCCAGATCGACTTTGTTGTTTGCCATTTTGAAAATCAATAACCGCAAACCATCTCCTCGCTGGCGCACGCAACGTCGCCCGAAGGGTGACCGAAGATCGTCGCCCGAAGGGCAACCGAGGCACGAAGTGCCGAGTAAGCCGATCTAACGAGCCCTCAGTCTCTTGGTTTGCGGTCTATAGAATGTGTAACGAAACTGTAACGCGATCAAAATAACCCATTTTTCAGAGGTTTTCGACGGGTTTTGATGTTCTAACGACAAAAAACATCTCCTCTGGACCAGGTGTAAAGGCGGGCGAGGGCGCACGCGAATTTCGCGGCTTCGCCGCTCGTGCGCCCGGCTCGACAAAACCGCCATACTACGCAGGCTAGGTCAGGGCTAAAAATCAGAGTGCGTGGATATTTTTAATCAGAGCTTTCTCTGGTTGTTGCGCCATACTGACGAGCCCCAAAAAGGGCGAAAACAGCTGTCCATGGCTACAATCTCGCTCTGTTTTGAGTTCTTTCGCTGTCGTGTTGATGTCTTGCAGTGTTAATTTTCACGTAGTGCGATCAGCATTGCAGTATTTAATATGTCTACTTATCATTTTTGCTGATCAGGTGTTTATAGATCCTACGTTCTTCGGCGTATGCGTTTGCGGTCCTTTGCAGTCCTTTGTGGTTGATGTTTGCACCAATATTAACCCTGCAAAAGGAACGACATTAGGAACTGTTTTGCTTTCCATCCAAGAAAGTGGAAAGAAGTAACATGCTCCAATACAAACTTTAGAAAAAAAAAAGAACGGAATGATTTACGTTTGTAACATAATATGTATGCTACACTACCAGGAGCTTACCAGGAAATCTATCTCTGAGGCCCGCGGTTCAAACGTCGAACTTAACATTAGCCTGTTCACAGTCCCCTATTTTTCCGTATGAGATCGTCGAGATCGAGCGCGTTGCGTAACGGGCTGCCAACTTGCATGAGTGTCAAAACTACTTAGGGGGCAGGGGGCGGTTTGGGAGGAAACAAGAAAAATAGAGGGACTGTAATAACATCACTGCAGCTCGCGTTCAATGAAAACGAATTGAGAGCTCGTCCCTGAACAAGTAACGCAAGCCATAGACAAAAGCTGGCTGAATAAAAATACCTTCCTCAAAGTCTGTAGCGTTCAGTGCGTTAAGGACTTTTCCTGCACTCTTAATTTATGTACTCGTTATGTTTCTGGTGAAAAGACAGCTGCAAGCAGCATAAACGAAACGTCAAACCTCAACTAGGCTTCCGTGCCTCTTAACCAGTGTGATAAAACCGAAATTGAAAAAAATCCCTGATTTTCCGTGAATTCCAAGAAACAAAAACGCTATGTCCGCGATGTCACTGATATCCTAACAAAGTCTCGATCGGAGGAGAATTGACTTGGACTGCTGACACTTGGGTGCGATGGGATCGACTCGTACTGTCCAAGCATTATAATGGTAAAAAACCGACAGAGTCATGGCTTTCTCCGTTATACGTGAGACAAAGGCTCCAATAATAACTTTTAAATGACACATGTCTAATACTCACGGCAGTGGATCCTAGAGCAACAATTCGTGCATGAATTCGCTCATTATCTCTGACAGCCTAACGGGCTACATTAACAGGCACAGTTAACAGACAATATGTAACGTCGAACAGATCACATCGACACACATGGATGGAGTAAAGCCCTCTTCAACATTAAACACGGGAATTACTGACTTGCTTCGTCCTGAATTAGGTAAATTTGACTATTATATATATGGAAAAAAGGTCATTTGAAACAAATTGAAAACTTTCTTTGAACGCCCTGGTGGTTGTTTCAGTCTTCCTTAGACGCTCCAACAGGCGCTTTTGTAGTACGCAAACATGAATAACACGCAACAAGCGCTCCTTGATCGGTGGACGCGTTCACGCCCCTGTTGACCATCTTTGTGAAAGGGGGATCCGTGCAAAGACAGAGTGCGATCTGGGTACGAGTTAAAAGTATAGAAATTCAAACTTTAGGGCTGGTTATTTGAACAAAGATTAGATGGCAGGGCCCGCGGAGCAGTTTTTAATTTTCGATATAAGTTAACGAACCTCGTTATAACGAACATATTTTGCCACACCCTTGACCCTTCGTTACATCGAGGTTCCACTGTACTTAATTTTATTTATTTGTTTTTCAAAAAGTGGGGGGCCCTGGACCCCCAGCCCCTACCCCTGCGGGGGTCCTGGTCGGGTTAAACTACCGTTCCATTATTCAAAATAATAGTTGCGAAATATGCGGACACTTATACACTGGTCCTTCAATAGGCTAGTCTGAGTATCAGGCTTTTCTAAGGGGCTACGAGACAGGAGATTTTCGCTTTTCTTTTCCCCTTTTCCTCCAAACACGCCTGATACTCAGGCTGTCAACAGGCCTTTAACAACTTTCAAAAACCAACCCTCACTTTCAAAACGAGGCCAAGTGCAGAAACAGTACTCATTATAAAAATGATTTTTTTAATGATTATATAGATAGCTTATTTCACTGACTTGACGCAACCCGTAAATGGACTGACGACAACCTCGTTACCAGGGACGGGTAGGAGAGAACCCTGGCAACGAGGTTGATCAGAAAGTTGCATACCTTTGCGAGGGCAAAATGTGGTTTGGGCATGCGCTGGAAACGATCCACGATCTTAAACCTGCGGGGCATTGAGGGGTAGAGTAAGATCACTACCCTAGGGAGGTTACAATCAACGATAAGTTAAAGAGACAGACTATTTTCTGATTCTCTTTGAACATTTCATCCAGCCTCGTACCCCGGACACCCAGGCCTCTCGGTTTAAACTGGCGTCAGGAGAACAG